CTCTCCCATCACCCCCTGCCCAACGGACAGCCCACTGTGCACACATCTCGCAGAGACAGGTATGGTGGGCGGCGGCAGGTGGCGGGTTGCAGAGCCGGAGATGCGCAAGGCGGACCTGCATGCTGCGGTGGCACTGTGGGGGGGGCTCTGCGGTCCTTGGCTCTCTGACCAGTTCCTGCTCCCCAGCTCCTCCCATGAGGAGACCCCCGGCTCCCACCCCCTGTACGGACATGGAGAGTGCAAGTGGCCGGGCTGCGAAACCCTGTGTGAAGACCTGGGCCAGTTCATCAAGTAGGTGCCGCCCGCCCCTCCCCTTCTGTGCCTGGTGTCTCCTCCACCAGGGAGACTGAGTTTCACATCTGCCCCCTCAGCTCCCCATCAGCCCCACCCCACATTCCGGGCTTGCACCCCACCGCCCCCTTTCAGCACGGGGTGGGTGTGAGGCCTAGTGCGTCCCCCGCAGCCTGGACTGTGACAGCCTGAGCCACTGGACAGGCTGGGCAGCAGGCGGCCAGCTGCCACCACCCTGCCAGGCTCTGTCACTGACTGATTAACTCTGCTGTCTCCCAGATCCGTGCAGCATCAAGGGTCAAACAAATTGTTTTCACGCTTCGTCAGAGGTTTACTTAATTACTTCATTTGTAATTAGATCTCTCCATAGAAGGAGTTTTAGCAAAGACATCAAAGGAGGCTGCAGAGAGAAGGCATCTTCTTTGCTTGCCCCCTTTCCACCCCTTTCTCTCCTTTGTATCTCTGGTCTGGCTGCTTCCTAGGCACCTCAACACAGAGCATGCCCTGGACGACCGCAGCACAGCGCAGTGCCGGGTGCAGATGCAGGTGGTCCAGCAGCTGGAGATCCAGGTGCGGCCACAGGCGGGGCTGGGGGCAGAGGGCTGTCCTGTGGGAGGGTCCCAAGGACCAAGAGGCAGGTGAGGAAGGCCGGGCCACTGAGGAGTACACCAGTGTTGGGGCGTCTCTGCTGGTAGCTGCAGAAGAGACTCACACTACTTAGATAAGCCAGACTTGCCGGGCATGGTAGCGCACACCTATAATCCCAGCACTCAGGAGGCTGAGGCAGGAGGATCACAGTGAGTTCGAGATCAGCCTGGGCTACATAGTGACTTCCAGGTCAGTCTCAACTACATAGTGAGACCCTGTCTCAAAAAACAAAACAAAAAACAAACAATAATAATAATAATAAGCCAGATGTGGGGGCACAGGCCTGTCACCCCAGCCCTCTGGAAGGCTGAGGCAGGAGTATCAAAAGTTACCAGAAGAGTTACAGACCAGCTGCGGTGGCTTTTCCTCACAAGAGCCCACCTTGCTTTCTCCAGGGTGTTCTTTTATCTGCTTGTTTACTGTTTTACTCAACCCAAGCTCACTCTGTAGAGCCAGTTTCTCTTCCCAGTCTTCACTTTTACTTTCCCAAATAAAACAGGAAGTTGTAGACCAGCCTGGGCAACTTAGCAAGATCCTGTCTCAAAAAATAAAGTTCTAGGGCTGGGGATTTAGCTCAGTGGTTCCGGTGCCTGCCTTGCAAGTGCAACGACCTGAGTTCGATCCCCAGTACCAAAAAAATAAAAATAAAGTTCTGGGGCATGGATCTCTGTGCACGGGCCTGGGTTCAATCCCCCGTACTGCAAAAACAAAGTGCCTACCTTCACCTAAATAGCTCAAGGGGCCCTCTCAGGGCCCCTGCCGGGCGCTGTGCTCCCTCCTGCTTTACACAGGAGGCACAGCCAGCCCCAGTGACCTGTCGGTGGCCACTCAGCCACCAAGTGGCAGAGCTGGGAGAGAAGCCCGTCAGAGCTTTGGAGGCAGCCTCGAGTCTGTCCATCTGCCGGTCGATATTTTCCCATTTCCTTCGGGCTCTGAGCAGCACGCCCTGCACTCAGGGCAGTCAGCAAAGATCCCGAGCTGGGGAGTGGGCGCGTGCCTCGTCACCCTCACCAGCGTCCCCGGTTCAGTCACAGCCCCTGCCTTCCTGGGGACGAAGACCCCGTGTGTAGGGTGGTCGGTGGTGAGCTCTGCTCAGAACACGAGAGACTAGAAGGCGGGGTGGAGTGGGACAAAGCGCCACCCTGCTCACCCGCCCGCCCCTGCAGCTGGCCAAGGAGAGCGAGCGGCTGCAGGCCATGATGGCGCACCTGCACATGCGTCCCTCGGAGCCCAAGCCCTTCAGCCAGCCTGTGAGTGATGCCTCAGCCCTGCCGCCGTCCCCATTGCGGGGTCCCCGGGACCCCTGCCCAGCACCTCCACGCTCACAGCAGAACCCGGGCCCCGGCCCCTGCTCCTTCCCCAAGGTGACCGTCTCTGCAGACCCGTTTCCCGATGGCCTTGTGCACCCCCCGACCTCCGCCGCTGCCCCTGTCACCCCTCTGCGGCCCCCCGGCCTGGGCTCTGCTGCACTGCATGGTGGGGGCCCTGCCCGACGGAGAAGCAGCGACAAGTTCTGCTCCCCCATCTCCTCAGGTGAGGCGGGGGCAGGGGCCACCGCAGAGGCCCTGCTCAGGCTGCTACTGCAAGCCGCCTCGCCTCACTCGCCACCTGTCCCCCCAGAGCTGGCCCAGAACCACGAGTTCTACAAGAACGCAGACGTCCGGCCTCCTTTCACCTATGCCTCCCTCATCCGCCAGGTGAGCTGGGCTGGGCCACGGCTGCACGGGGTCCTCACCTCTGCCTGCTTAGTGCCCCCCCACAGCCTGGTGTGCTGCTGTTCACGGGGTACCCTGGGCTCACACGTGCTTGTCTGCTCACGGCCACACGCCCCTCTCCTGCACACACCTGTGGCAGGTGCACTCAGACCTCTCCTCTCTCTGTGCCCCACCCCTGCCGCCTCCCTGGTGCCCGTAACCCTCCCATCCTGATGCAGTCGGGGACCCCCACATCCGTCCACCCTTCACCCACCAGTTGCTGTGGAGGCCTGCAGTCTCCTCTGTGCACGGGTGAGGTAGGCCCTGGCGGGAGGCCAAGTTCACAGTCCGGGACCCTGAGAGGCCCAGCCTGAGGGGTCCCCTTGGCTCATCCTCACCCCAGGCCATCCTGGAAACCCCCGACCGGCAGCTGACCCTGAATGAGATCTACAACTGGTTCACCAGGATGTTCGCCTACTTCCGCAGGAACACTGCCACCTGGAAGGTGAGCTGTGTGTGCCCAGTACCCACACACCCTGGGCACCCACGTCTCCCCAGACCAGGGCTGCCTGACATCAGGTGGTCCCGTCAACGGCCCACCAGGGCCCAGCTCCCAGAGTGCTGCAGGGATGCCTGTAGTCACAGCACTCGGGAGGCTGAGGCAGGAGAATCATCATGAGTTCAAAGCCAGCGTGAACTACATAGTGGGACCCTGTCTCAAACTCCCAGAAATAAACATGTCATAACTGCCCTTTAGCCACCCCTTCCTTCCGGCCTTGTACTGCCTTCCTCCTGCAGGGGAAGAAACCCTCTTTTCTGGGGTGTTCTCCTACAGGTCCCAAATGCTCCAGCTCCACAAGGCAGGGCCTTAGGAGGCAGCCAGGCTCACACTTAGTGGGGAGGCCTGGGCTAAGGAGGAGAGGTGTGGGCTTGGACACAGGTGTGGCCCATGGCCACGACCCATGTGCTGGGGTACAAGGCACCCACAGGCTCCCAGGGACAGGAAGGTAACTGTGTCATCCAATTAGTCATTTCGCAAAGTCTTCCTAAGGGACCAGAGGAAGGAGAGAGGGGGACCCTAGAAAAATAGGACAGAGATGTGGGCCAGGGCACTAAGCTGTTTATTTTTCCATAGCCAAGTTGGAGAGAGACAGAGACAGAGTGTGTGTGTGTGTGTGTGTGTGTGTGTGTGTGCGCGCGCGCGCGTGGGCGTGCCACACGCTTGGGGTAGGAAGGTGGCATCTAAACCGTGCCAGGCCTCATGGGAGGAGGAGGGAGGTGGGTCCTGTGGGGAAAGTAGATCCCCGGGTCTTGAGTCCCCCTGCTGGCTAGTGCAGGAATTGCAGTTAAACAGGCCTCTCCCCTAGTGTCACCTGGCTTCAACAAGTGTCCCCAGGCCTGCCTCCCTGGACTCCTAGGGACTTCTGGGATCGGCCTTGTCTGCCCTTGGTATGTGCTGGGTGCCCAGAAGGGACTGCCCATGACCTCCACATCTCTGAGCCTAACTCCCAGCACTTGGAGACAGGCTGTGAGGCTGGGGCGGCCGCCGTGATTGGCTGTGAGTGATGTCATTTCCTGCCAACCACAACCCTGCCCTCTTTCTGAGCCAGCATGACATTCTTGGCACCACCTGCACCAGTCTGCAGCCTCCAGGCCGGGCCAAGTACCAGGTGTTGGAAACAGGGAGTCTAACAGATGTGGGAGATCGTCGTGATCGCGGTCTTCTGTTAGCTTTAATATTGCATGTGCATCCTTGACCCCAGGGGAAGCAGGCAGGAGCGTCACCTCCGGGAGCTGGCTGCCCCTTGGGGACCCAGTCCTGCCCACTTGCCCTCCTTTCCTCCTCTCCACCCTGCACCGCCCGGCTGCAGTGTCCTACTTCTGTCTTCTGGTGATGAGAAGCCACCGATGCATTTATCTTCCTCTTCCTCCCCAAATTACATTGGCTTCTTCTCTTCTGCTACCTTCACCCTTTCTGGGCCCCACCCTGAGACGCTGTCTCCTCCGGAACAAGGATCGGTGTGGGCCAGGCCAGCTGCTGTTCAGTGGGGACGGAGCGGCCATCTGCCGAGCTGCCGGTCCTTCCTGGCCTCCCCACGTCCGTCCCCTCCCAGGGCCGGTCCTTTGTTTACACAGCCCCCGCCAGACCCCTCAAATTGTCGGTAATGTTTCAGCGTAACGAATTAGTCTCTCATCACGAATCAGGCTTCGAAATGAGGGAGAAAAGCCCCGGTGAGGCCATCCTCGGAAATTGGGGTCATTCTCATTTGCAAAGCGGAGGATCGGAGCCCCATAATGCGGGCAAATTTATTCCGAGGCAGGAGCCCCGGCGTGATTAGGCCCTTTGTAATTATCGCTCCAAGAGATTCCACTCCAGCCGCCCACCTCCCTCGTGGATTAGCAGGCGAGTCGGAAAAATACACAGGATTTAATTAGAGGCAAATTAAAATTGGTAATGAAATCGGGCCAGTTGCAAGTGGCAAGAGTTGGAAGGCAGAGAGGGAGAGGGGTCTCCAGGGGCACAGGCTACCCGCCCTGCCCGCCGTCTTCCCCGTTTAGAAATGTAAAGAGGAGACAAGGATCGAGGAGGCTGAGGGAGGACAGGTAATGGGACAGGGACACAGGCAGCAGCTGGCAGTGGGGGAAAGAGCTGAGAGAGCTCGGGCAGGACAGAGGGACGAAAAAGGCTGTGGGTGGGTGAGGGTCGTCACCCAAGGGTCTGCAAGGCCAGGGGACCTCAGCCCCTGAAGTTTCTGTGCCGGGCGGGAAAAGTGACAAGACGACCGACCGAGCCTCTTTCCTGCCTGCCTACGGGTGCGAGGCCGCTCCTTCCTCCCTCCCGGTTTATTTCCGCGAGTGTCTTAGGCCCTGGCTGTCTGCCTCATGCCCTCCGCAAGGAAGGCGCCAGTCCCAGCTCCTATGGGCCAGGAAGGTAGTAGCAGTGAGGGTCCTTGATTTGTCCCCGGCACGTGAGCCCAAGATCAGATGCCAGGGCCCAGAGCCACCGTCCCGCTGCTCAAAGCCCAGGGGTAGCTCCCCGCATCGGACCGGAGCCAGCAGGGAGTGTGATTCCCGCCGGGGGCCACCATCATAGGGGAACCAGTGGGGAGGGGTCCCCGCTCCCCTGCCGACCGTGGCCTAGGGACATGGGACAGCGCTGCCGTACCTGTTCCTCGAGCCCCTCTCCCCGTACCCCCAGAACGCCGTGCGCCACAACCTCAGCCTGCACAAGTGCTTCGTGCGTGTGGAGAACGTCAAGGGTGCGGTGTGGACGGTGGATGAGCGCGAATACCAGAAGCGCAGGCCGCCGAAGATGACGGGGTACGTGGCGCCTGGGCTCTGTGCTCCCCTGGCTCCTGATAGGAGCAGGCCTCTTGGGGCCGCTGGGACCCTCTGCATTTCCAGGGCAGCAGGCCAGAGAGTGAGCGGCAGGGCCTCGGGGAGGACAGGGCGGGGGCCAGGGAGTCGGGGAGAAGCTCCGGGTGCCAGGCGCTGTCCCGTCTCATCCAGCCCAGTGCACACTGCGTCTGCTTCTCCCACTGTGTGACCTCGGGCCTGGTCCTTGTCCTCTCCGAGAGGGCCTGTCAAGGGGCCAGCACTGAGGCAGGCAGACACCCTGGGCCGTGGCTTTTCCCCAGCACCTTTGGGTGCAAGAAGAGCCTTTTGTCTGGGACACCTGGGGACATGGCTGATCCCATGTGCCTGAGTTCAGGAGGGCAAGAGAGCGAAGATTTTACAGATGTGGAACCATCAAGACTAGAGCTTGGGCTTTTCCAAACAACACGAAATCACACCAGGGAGGGAAGAGGCCAGATGGCCTGAGGTGCAGGTGGACATGGGGAGGGGACCTGCTGCCACCTCCCAGCTTTGAGACCTGGCAGGTCCCCAAAGCCCAGCCCTGGCCACCTGTGGGGACTGAATGGGCCCAGGCACACGGTGACCCATCCTGGCTGGGCCTCCAGGAGAGCAGAGGGGACAGGCCCTGGCTCTGCACGCCCCCTAGCCAGGGTCGGGGGGAAGCGGGTGGGATGACTGAGCCCCGCTTCTGTCCTCAGGAGCCCCACCCTGGTGAAGAACATGATCTCGGGTCTCAGCTACGGAGCACTTAATGCCAGCTATCAGGTGAGCAGCCCCAGCCCACCCAGGCCTGCCACCTCGGCCAGGGCTCTCCCTGGATCTCACAGCCAGTTTGGGACTGGCGTGACCTACAGCACCCCCTGGAGTCCTCGGGGGACAGGGACGGCCGGACCTGGGTTCCCAGGAAAGGAGGGAGGTGGGGAGCTGGGCAGAGCCCGACCTGGGGTTACGTTCCCGAAGCTCTGAGAGGGACTGGTCAGGGCTCGGGTGGCCCCCTGACCGGCTGCACCTCTGTGGTGCAGGCTGCGCTGGCCGAGAGCAGCTTCCCCCTCCTCAACAACCCTGGCGTGCTGAGCCCCAGCTCAGCCAGCAGCCTCCTGCCCCTCAGCCACGAGGACATGGGCGCCCCCGGGGAACCGCTGCCCAGTAATGGCAGCAGCAGCAGCCCACCTCGGCTCTCCCCGCCCCAGTACAGGTGAGCACAGGGGCCCCCAAGCCTCCCCTGCACATTCCCCAGACGGCGGCCCCTGTACTTGGATTCCTCATCGCCTCCTCCTCTTTGTAATACTGGACATTGAACCCAGGGCCTTTGCACTGAGCTGCATCCCTAGCCGTTTTTAAATTTATCTTGCCAGAGTCTTGTTAAGTTGCCCGGGCTGGGCGTGAGCTTGCCATCCTCCTGCCTCAGCCTCCCAGGCATGTACCACCATGCCTGGCTTCTGCCCTTAATTCTTTCTCCGCCTCTCTCCATCCTTTTTACACCTCCTCCCTTCTCTGTCCGCTCTGTCCCAGAATCCTCTTCTCTGCAGAAGGTCTTGTGGGGGGTCCTGAGGAAGGCACTGTGGGCATCACACTGTGCAGAGGCTGGGGCAGGGGCTGCAGGAGGCCCCTGGTGCCCACACTGTCCCTTCTGCCACAGCCACCAGGTACAGGTGAAGGAGGAGCCTGCAGAGGCGGAAGAAGATCGCAGGCCGGGACCTCCCCTGGGTCCCCCCAACCCCAGTGCTGCGGGGCCTCCACCTCTGGAGGACAGGGAGCTGGAGGAGGAGCTGCCGGGGGAGGAGCTGTCCTAAGGGCTCTGGGGCAGAGGCGGGGTGAGACCCCTGGCCCAGAACCAGGCCCACCCAACCCCACTCCACAGCCCTGAACCTCAAGGCACTTCCGGACTCGACTCCACGGGGCAGCCTGGGCCGGCAGCTCCCCTGCCATGGACCGACACACGCTTGGGGGCAGAGCTAGTCCCCTCCCCCAAGGGGACAGGACCCCTGGTCTGGGGCCAGCCGAAGACATGGAGGGCCCAGACCCCTCCCAGACTCCCTTCATCCGAACCAGTCTCCCGACCACCAGCAGCAGGCCCCCCACCGCTGTCCCCTGGACAGGGCCCTGTCTTCTGCAGGAGACCCACGGATGGGGCACCCACCTCCCAGGGCCTGTGCCCGCACTCCCGGATTTGTATGTTCTCTTTCTGTACTGTGAAGCAAGCGATCTCCTCCCCCAGCTCCTCGCCCTGCCCTGCCCTCCCCTGCCTGCCAGGAATGGAGCTGGGCTGGGCTGGCCAGCTGTCACCACCTCCGCTGCTGTCATGGGTGGGACCCGGCGTTTTGTGCCCTGTGAGGGCCGCCACAAGCAGGACCCAGGCTAAACGGCACCGGGCCTCCTGTGTCCTCCGCTCACACGGATGTCCACAGGTGGGGCCGCGCCCCCTGCAGAAGGGCGAGGCGAGGCTGGACCCCGGCCTCGCCACACCCCTGGCCACCGAAGTCCTCTCACCCTCCCTGTACCCCTTCCCTAAGTCCCCAGTTACACGGATGACCAAAGACCTTTCTTATGCCGGAAGCAAAAACCAAAACTTTTCGTTGGCTTTTTCCTTTTGTCGCCTCCCGAACTCCCAGCTGTCCCAGGCCCCAGGCTGGAAGCCCCACTCTACTTAAGTTATTGTTTTAAACCAAAGTTTACAGTGTCTGTTGGTGGCAAGACCCTCTCCCTCTACCCCTTCTCTCCCCGAGGACCCTGGGACTGGCCCTGCCTGGGGACGAGGAGGCGGGCACACAGGAGCCATGATCCCCAGCCCTGGACTGCCCTGGGGGCTCTGCAGCCCCTCTCTAGGACCAAGTCCCTGGCACCCTGGCAGTGTGGATCCCTGGATTCCAGCACCAGAGCTGGAAAAGTGAGACTCTGAAGACCCCCTATGGGGGACCCCAACTCGAGGCCAAGGAGGGGGTGAATGCTCAGGACCCCGCCAGGCCCCGTTGCTGAGAAGACCCCTTGGATATCTCCTGAGAACCCTACCTATGCCCCTTCCCAAGCTGCCCCCCAGAGGTGGGGCCCCCATGTACCCTCACCTGTGTCCGTCTGAGCAGCACAGAAATATTAAACACCCTCTATTCACCGGGCCCCGCGTGTGTCACCGGGGGAGGGTGGCTGTGGGCAGGGGCTCGGCGGGACCCTGGCTCCTGCATGGTGGCTCGGGGTGCAGGGTCAGATGTGCCAGGCCCTCTGCTCCCGTATCCTCCCCCTGTTCCCCCAGTTTGAAGCCCACGTTTCCCCAGCGCTCCCACTGGGGAGGCCACAAGGACTTGGTGACCCATGTCAGGTCCCCGGTAGGTGTGTGCACACGTGTGACCCTGGCTCTCACAGCAAGGTGTGGGTGGGGACATGCACATCCCCAGAGCACGTGTGAGCAGTGACCACTGTGCCGGTAGCTGGGTGTCATGAAAGGGTTATTCACACCCACGCAGGGGACCCCAGCAGTCAGCGGGAAGAGGGAGGAGGCCAAGCTGCCAGGCAGAGGCAGGGCCCAACCCCTCCTTGGGCCCCGCATCAGTTCCCTCAGGTCCTGGTCCCGGCCTCCAGGTCCCTTGTCCCTGGACAGCCAGCCCCTCCCCAGGGCTGCAGGACCCAGGCGGGGGTGTGAAAGCCTGGTGGGGTTGCTGAAACCACCCAGCCTGCTCTGGCTTCTCCCAGCAGCCAGAGCTTCCGGAAGCTGGGTGGGGGTGGGGCTGGGGCTGGACAAGGAGAGGCTGCCTGACTTGTGTCTGCTCTCTCCTGGCCTGTCCTTCCTTCCCTGCTACTGTGACTGTTCCTGCCCCCAGCTCCCCTCCCCCTGTGTCCCCACCTTAGGGTGGGGAGGGAGGTGCTCGGTGCCCTCCTCCAGGGATGACAATTCGGGTCACCTCACCGTGGCCCACTTCTCTCCCAGCCAGAAATCCGGGGGTGGCTGCCAGGCGCCAGCTACCTGCTCTACCCCTGGAAGAGGAGGGTCTACCTGGGCCGGCCCCAGGGTTGCCCTCGGTCTGCTTCCTGAGGTCTAGCTGAGGCATCTCCAGTCTTCGTGGGCCATGGCAAAGTCCACACAGCTTACTGGGAGGTGAAAAGCAGGTATACCCCAGGTAAGAGCCAGGGAGAAGGCCTCACAGAATAAGAAACAGGCTGTTGTGGCCCACCACCACCTGTGTTCAAGGCTCTTTTATCTATTTTGGTTTTTTGAGATAGTTCAGGCTTGCCTTGAACTTGAGGTGATCCTTCTGCCTCAGCCTCCTGAGTGCTGGGATGTCAGGCGTGCACCACCTCACCCAGCTGTGTGATGAGCTTTTAGCACCCTCCCCCCATTATTTAGTGTTTCTGCGCTAGTGGTGGAGCTATCTCTGGAACGTGTTCTCAGGCTAGCAGAGAAATACAGCCTGGTGTGGTAGCACACATGTAATCCCAGCACTTTGGGAGGCTGAAACAGGAGGATTGCAAATTCAAGCCAAGCCTGGGCAATTTAGCAATGTAACAAGGCTATCTAAAATTTTTTTTAATGAAAAGGCTGGGGATGTAGCTCTGTGTGAAGACCTTGAGTCCAGTTCCCAGTAGTGCAAAAAGAAAAAGCTTCAAGCTGGACAGGTTAGGCTAAGAGTACTGTGGGCCCCCACAGGGCAGGCCGCCCTGCCATGAGGCCTTTCGCCGATGGCCAGCAGAGGGCGCTTTGGACCAAGTGGACCCCCCTGCCCCCCCACACACCCACCCAAGCCCCTTCCAACCCGGGATCTGTGAGAAGGTTTTTTGTCTTTTGTTGAACCCAGCGGTGCTCTGCCACTGAGCCCTGGACCTTTTTTATTTTTTGATACAAGTTTTCACTGAGTTACCCAGACCGGTCTGGAACTTTCAATCCTCCTGTCTCAGCTATAAAAGCTCTTAAGTAGAAACAGGAGAAGCCAAGAGGGAGGGAGGAGAGCGAGCAGGAAGGAGCTCTCTGGAGCCTGGCACACAGCAGCCGTGAGGGGCTCAGCTTTGTTCTTATTTCCTCCCTCTCTCCCTCCCTTCTTTTCTCCCTCCCTTCCTTCTGTCCCTGGTTATTAAACCCAGGGCCTCCACGCTGAACTACATCCTCAACCATTTTTTTTTTTTTTTTTTTACAGCATCTCCCTAAATGGACTCTTGAGCCTCCTCCTGCCTCAGCCTCCCTGAGTGCTGGGATTCCAGGCCGGTGCCACCCACCACTCCCGGCTTCATCTGTTTGTAACAGTAATAGTAATTGTTAGCATTTCAGATGCTCCTGTTAATACCATTCTTCCGGAAGCTTTGCCTCTCCCTCACTCCTCACACAGTTCCGATTTGGCCTCTGTCCGTGACCTGTGTCACAGATGAGGAAACTGAGGTCGGGCGCGGAGAATGAGAGAAAGGCAGGCGCTCTGTAACACTGCTTGCTCTGACGTCTTCCCCTCCCGGGGCGGCTCCTGAGGAGAAACAGGTACAGGAGGCCTCCAAGCTGAGACTTAGACACTGGAATCAGCCTTGTCTTCTGAGTAGGGTGAGGTGGACTGAGGCTTGGGACAGTGAGCTTCCTAAAAGCCTGGAACACCCGCCAGGGCCTGGCGGTACAAGCCTGTGATCCCAGCACTAGGGAGGCTGAGACAGGCGGACTACTGAGAGTTCAAGGCCACCCTGGGCTACATAGTGAGACCTTGCCCCAAAACATGGAAAGGCTCGGAACACCCTACAAAAATAATCATGTGGGGCTGCCGAGGGGCAGAGACCCCCGGTGATGATGGAGACAGAGAGCCCCTTGTCTGTGGGGTTCACGAGGCCCCGGGCCCCCCACCAGCCTGTGGTCTGCGTCCATCTTGGGATCAAAAGTTTAGACAAACAGCCACTGCCTACACGGTGGCCCTGGTGGCAGCCAGGGCTGAGAGGCTGCCTGTTGCAGGGGTCTCCTGCTCTGGGCCTGGAATTCACACCAAGGACCAGCAGGAGCGTCAGGGGCCATGGTCACCGGGGCCACAGGACAGGGCTCTGCGAGCAAAGAAACGCGGAGGTGAACGACACTGTGCCCCCAGGTCCCAAGTTGTGCTGCCACCGCCTGCTCTGTGCCCTGGGGAAGCCCCTGTGGGCTCAGACGCCAGTTGCCATAGAGACAGAGGAAGCAGGTGACCCACTGGGGACCCAAGTGACCCGGAAGCTCCAACGAAAAGCCCTGCAGTAAGCCAAGGTGCGTGCCAGTCATCCCAACACTCCGGGGGCTGAGCCAGGAGATCCCAAATGCGGCCCCAGCCTGGGCAGCTTAGCGACTGAGGGAGATCCTGTCCCAAAAAATAATAATTTATTAGAAAGGGCTGGGGATAGCTGGGCGGGCGAGACGGTGTGAACCTGTAATCCCAGCACTCAAGGAGCTGAGGCAGGAGGATCACTGCGAGTTCAAGTTCAAGGCCAGCCTGAGCTGCATAGTGAGACCCTGTCTCAAAAAACAAAACAAACTAAATAGCAGGGGATTTGACTCAGAGTGAAGACCCTAGGTTTAATCCCCAGTACCACAAAAAAACCAGCTGAACAGATGCGGGGGAGGCAGCAACAGGGAGGTCTGCAGGCTTCCCAGGCTGTGGTGATAACAGCCGCTGCAACCTGATTTCCATCCTCGTCTACAACAAACATCTCAGTCCTAGGCTGAGCAGAGCTAGGGAAAGAATCTCTGACCACCCATGAGGCCCGGGGGAGAGTGGGAAGCTTGCCCACAGACTCTCACCCAGGAGGGGAGGCTGAGGCAGGAGGATCTGTTACTGATCAAAATGGTCCAGGTCACTGAGAAGCCAGCAACCAGAGGGGCCTGCCAGGGGCTTGCCATGGAGGTGGCTTGAACAAGGAGGCACAATGTTAGACAGCACCTGCAGGGGTGGTGGCCACCAAGCAGCAGAGACCTGCACACTGCTGGAGCACATCTGGGCCCACTGCTGGTTGTGGGGCAGAGGTGTGGCCGAGAAGAGAGACGGAGATCCAGAACCAGGGGACAGCGTGGTGCCCAGGCCAGGCAGGGACAGAGCACGGATGCCAGGGACTTGGGGCCAGGGACCAGGCAGCTAGAAGATTCAGGAGCCTGGGGACAGAGCAACTTCCTGCAATCAAGGCTGAGGGCAGCGGTCAGGAAACAGCAGGGACAGGTGCCGCTCTCTGTCCCTGAGAGCTGAGTGGCAAACGTCAGCCTGGGAGGTGGGCAGCAGCAGCTGTAGAATGTCCAGAACAGGGTGTTTGTGAGGTTCCCAGCTGGGGTGATGGGATTTCCCAGGAGAGTGGGAAGGCGGAGAGCGTGTGAGTGGCTTTTCCCTCCCACGCTGGCACACCTGCCCTGACCTGGCAGGGAATCGGGGGGTGAGAAAGACCCTGGGGGGCCGGACCTGGCACTGCCTGTGCATGGCAGAGGGAGGAAGGTGGTGGTCAGCCCCTACCCTCACCTGGGGTCCCACCTGGACCCCTGCCACCCCCCACCTGCCACTGCCCACCTTCACCCATGCTAGGCAAGTGTTGTACAACTGAGCTACAGCCACAGACCTTTCAAATGTAAAGTTTCAAGGCCAGGCAGAGTGGTGCACAGCTGTAATCCCAGCCATGGGGAGGCTGAGGCGGGAGGATCATAGAAAGGAAGTTCAAGGCCAGCCTGAACTATATAACAAGACCCTGTCTCAAAAAACTAACAAACGCAGAAGTTTCTTCTTGGTCATACTTTCACTTCAGTCCCTTTTTTTCTTTCCTGCTTTTTCAGTCTCTTTTTGCCTCAGACTAAAACACACTTCTGTCTCCTGCCTTCTAAACACAAACAAGCAGAAACGCTCCCTCTCCCCTGCCCGGCACGCCTTCCCTCTGCCCAGTCCCTCTCCTGCCAAGGGACCTCAAAGAGCCTCTGTGCCCGGCACCCTCCGCCCTCTCCTCCGTCTCCGCTGCCTGTGCCTGCTGCCCTCTGTGCCCAGCTTCTCTCTCCGGAGCCCGGACCTTCTCCCCACGGGGACACACCCTGCCCCGCACAGCCTTCCTGGAGACGGACCCAGAGCTTCCCACTAAGCTGCATGTTCAAGCCTTTTATTATTTTCCCTTGAGACAGGGTCTCCTTTAGTTGCTAAATTCCCAGGCTGGGCTCAAACTTGTAATCCTCCTGCCTCAGCCTCCCAGAATGCTGGGGTTCTAGGCGCACTGCCACACCCAGACTGTTTCTGTTGTCTGGTTCTTTTTTGTTGGAGCTGGGCACACCCTGGGCAAGAGCTGTACCACTGGCCGCACCCTCAGCCCCTCTCTGAGGTGTATGGGGCTTTTTGGGGGACAGTTTACCGAGATAGGACCAACCACCCCACTTCCT